CAACCTTCCTTCCGAGGAGTGGCTGGTGGGTTTGAACCGCCAGCCTTCTGGTGAGCAGTCAAGTGCTTTAGCCACTATGCTACCAGAGCTCCTATTATTAAAACTAGTAGTTTTAAAATGTAGCTTTATCTATGTAAGTGCTCAGAATTTTAAAAAGGTCTTTGTTGTGAATTATGTTGTTTTCAAGCAACAGATACCCTGTCTGTTACATTGAATGCATTTTTACTTTAATTTCACACATCAAAATGTGTGCTTATTTAAAAAGCCAAAATAGTATAGACGTATATTTCATACAAATTTACGGTCTCTCCTTAATCCCATTATATTTATATAACGATTTCCCCATCAGTTTAGTATATACCTTTCTTTTTTTTCTTCTTTACATTTATATAAATGTATCTTTATGAATATATTCACATTCTGTAGTTGTTTTTTTTCCACTCAGTGTTAGAAATCCTTCCATATCAAAATATATACCCTCATTTTTTTAAACTGCTGCTTGTTGTTGTTGTTGTTGTTATGTGCCATCGAGTCAGCCCCGACTCATAGCGACCCCTCCTTGGGTTTCCGAGGCAGTATCACTACGGAAGTAGGATTGCCCAACCTTCCTTCCGAGGAGTGGCTGGTGGGTTTGAACCGCCAGCCTTCTGGTTAGCAGTCAAGTGATTTAGCCACTATGCTACCAGAGCTCCCAAAATGCTGCTTAGTATTCTATAATATGGATTTTCATTTAACTTTCCTGTTGAGACATCTAGATTATCTTACGTTTTTTCCATGACAGATCACACTGCAGGTGTGGCCTTGTGCTAGCTGCCCAGAAGTGAAATAGGTCAAAAGGGTCATGCCTTTTAAATTTTTCTGTCTTGCCCTATTGCTTTTGTTTTCCCACCCTCTGACCCTGCTGTGTGTGTGTTAATCTTTTAAATTTTGCTATTCTCGCAGGCAAAAAGTGTTTTGATTTTCTTCATTTTATAAAAGATTGTGCAGCCTTGAAAACGCTTTTGTTTCTTTTTTGGAGAGGTTTTCAAATAGTCTTAGAGACATCAACATGACTAAAGCCCTTGCCTTTGAGTTGACTCTAGCTCATAGCAAACCTACAGGACAGAGGGGAACTGCCTCACAGGGTTTCCACGGCTATGAATCTT